GAGAAACCCTGGCACACTGTCCACTCATTCTGTATGTTATAGCGACCTCATCCAAGGCCCGCTGGCTAGTCCGTACTGCTGCTGCTATCCATCCCCACCCCACAAGAGGCACTCCAACCACGGATCCAGGGCCTGCCAAATCGGCTTAGGTAAGCACACTTGTTGTCATGGCTGGCAGCCTGGGTTTGATCCCCATCGTCCACCTGGTATGAGACTCACAGGTGTCATCCTCTGACCGTCACTGCATGTAGAGAGCCCGTGCATTACATTCAGGGATTTAAACATGCCTTCGACACCAGCAGCACTCGGGAGGTATCTCTGTGAATTCAAGGCCAGCCTGATTTAGAGTGAGTTCCAGGTCAGACAATGCTACACAGAGCATCTATCTGTCTGTCTGTCTGTCTGCCTGCCTATCTATCATCTGCTGGAGAGATGTTTTGGCAACTGAGTGCCCTGACTCGTTCTTCCCTCAGACCTCTGTTCCCTTCTCAGTACCAACAACGAGGCTCCACTTCTGAGGGACCCCATGCCCTCCTTTCCCCCAACCCACCTCTTCTGGTACTGCACACAGGTGGCACACAGACAGTGGTCACATAAAAGCATCCTTAAGCAGTAAATCTAAAATTTCTTTCCAAAATATAAAGACAGGTGGGGTGGTGGAGAGGCAGGTGGATCTTTGTGAGCTCAAGGCCATCCTGGTCTACAAGAGCTAGTTCCAGGACAGCCAGGACTGTTAAACAGAGAAACCCTGTCTCGAAAAGCCACACCAGAGGCTAAGGGGGTGCGTTCTACTTCTTTCCCGTCAAAGAGACCGCTTTGATAAAACACAGTAAGCAATGGGGAAGAAAAACATCGGACAATATGGCCCTCTGCCGCCCCTGTATTTACACAGCATCTTCACATTTCCAAAGCACGGAACCAACATTTATTAACCCTCACAACACCCCTGTGAGGTAGGTCAACATGTCCTTTATAGCAGAGAACTGAGAATCTTGCCCAAACCGGACTGTGGCCACAAGGGCAGCTGGGAAGGGCCGGACCAAGTCCAGAAGTAGGGGATCCTGGGCCTGCACTCACCACCGGCAGACATCGAAAGTCACATACAGGAAGGACGGAAAGGATCTCTCGGTCAACAACAGGGAAACCGACTCTGAACAGGACGGGGAAGTGTCAGTCGGAGAGGACACGGACCAGCGCACGAGGCAAGAGAACATGCACTGAGAAAGGCTGGTTGGGTGGGTGGGTCAGGGCGACCGCCTGCGAGGGGACCTGCAACCTTCGGGACGGTTTGGAAAATTGTAAACAAACTAGGAACCCGTTCCAGGGGTGATCAGCTCAAATCCTCGTGGCTTCCCAAATAGGGGAGGACTTGGAAAAAGACAGGAAGTCCATTTGCCCTAACTTTACGCTGGGAACGATGATCACGTCTGCCCCATGGAAAAGACCGGGCATGCGTGACACGGGTCCACTGGCCCTCGGCATCCCAGCTGCAAACCAACTTTCGTCCCAGGGAATCCACTTCCCTCCCCACACTCAAGAGCTCTTTCTGCTAGCAGGATGCTTTCCCTCCATGCCAGGATAGGCTGCCATGGTAAACTAAGGAGGAGCTTGGTTGACAGATGTCTCTCAGCCAACTGGCTGAGCTAGGGACGGGATCCAGTGAACAATGATGCTTCTGCATCATTAGGAAATGCCAATTGTCTGCCTCTGTCCAGCTGCCCCTTCTGTTTAGTGCACCCAGGAAGACCAGGTCGCCCTATGGTAAAGCATTCGGTGAACATGGTTCAATTGGCCATTTCAAAAGAAACAAGGTGAGGAAAACAAAAACCCTGCACTGTAAAGCATAATACTGGAGTAGATTTATTATCACTACCCCAAATTCCAGAGCGATACAAGGAGCACGGAGTTAAAACGCCACTGGTATCGCTGGGCGTTTCACAATATTGGTTTAGTCCACAAATTTAAGGCAAACATACTACCGCATCTGCTTTTCTTCAGAGATCAACCATACTTATAGAGCTCACAGAAACAGACCCAAAACGTCTATGCTCATTAACTCAAAGTAAGTCTCATTAAGATGTTTTACATAGATACATGAAAGAACTCAGGGCACAGGATGCTTAAAAACAAAAACAAAACCCAGAAAGCAACGTTTACCTTGTGTGATCAAGGGACTCTTGAGAATGTTAAAACTGGACAAGTGATTCAAAGGAAAGGAGGAAACACACATGGTTAAGACAGGCGATTTAAAGAAAAGAGTTGAACTTTGGGCTTCTTGGAAGGTCAAGTGCGGGTGGCAGGCCACTGCCCTGGGGCCAGTGAGCCCTGCTGCTCCATTGTCTCTCAGAAGAAAGGCTGATGCACCCGCCAGCTGTTCCTCTTGTTCCCAGTGAGCTTAGATGCCAGACATCAGCAAGAAATCAAAGGAGATTTGAAGGCAGCCCTTTTCAGCAGAAGGCAGAGTGTGGCCTATGTGTCTCCATTTAAAACTGCAAGGCAGTTCTGCAGCAACTGGAGGTTGCCCTAGAAGGGAGGAAATAAAATCAACCATCAATGTCTTTAGTCCCAATAGCCTGAAAGAGTCATAAATAATTTTTATAGTTGTGTGACATGTATGGGTGTTCTGCCTGCATGTATGTCTGGGCACCACGGGTTTACCCATTGCCGCCAAAGGCATCTCTGAGCAACCAAGAAAGAAAAGAGAAAAGAAATTGTATTCTGGTGTCAGAATTCTAGAAGTACTTTTCTTGTTTGTTTGTTGTTCCAGACAGGGTTTCCTCTGTGTAGTTTTGGAACTGTTCCTGGAACTTGCTCTTGTAGATCAGGCTGGTCTCGAACTCACAGAGATCCACCTGCCTCTGCCTTCCTAGTGCTGGGATTAAAGGCGTGCGCCACCACTGCCCAGCTAGAAACATTCTATGACAGTTTAAAGACACAAACAACCAAGCTTGTTCACCAAATAAATTTCTACCTAGACCAGTATTAATGGTTTACATAGTCTGACTTTTAAAAAAGTGGGGCTTAGCCAGGACTCCATAGAGTTCCTGCCACAACTCCCCCAAACCTAACTGCAGTGGTCTGAAGAGGAACAGCTCCCACGAACTCATTTTTGAATAGGGAGTGGCATTACGAGTTTCAAATGCCCAAGCCAGGTCCAATGGCTCTCTCTGCTGCCTCAGATGCAGATATAGAACTCTCGGCTACCTCTGGCACCATGTCCGACTGCCCAAAGCCATGGTTTACGCTGTAATGCTAATGGACTGAAGAAACCTCTACATACCAGCCCCAATTACATTTTTCCTTTACAAGTGTTATTGTGGTCACGCTGTCTCTTCACAGCAATAGAACACCAATTAAGAAACCTTTCAAAGCCGGGTGGTGGTGGTGCACGCCTTTAGTCCAGCATTTTGGAGGCAGAGGCAAGCGGATCTCTGTGAGTTCGAGGCCGGCCTGGTCTACAAAAACTAGTTCCAGGACAGTCAAGGCCACACAAAGAAACCTAGGCTCAAAAAGTCAAAAACAAACAAACCATAAACACCACTTCCACAAAAAAAAAAAAAAAAAAAAACAATCTGAAACAAAAAGATGTTTTTACATATGTGTGTTGGGGTGGGGGTGGCCGTGTGTACGCCACACACACCCAAGTGCTTATTTACACCCAAAAAGGATGTTGTATCTCTTGGATGAGGAGTTAGGATGATTATGAGCTATATGATGTAGGTACTGAGAATCAAACTCCAGTCCTTGGAAGGGCAGCAAGCAATCTTAACAGCTGTGTCAGCCCCCCAGATCCACAGGTGTAGGCTGGCCTTGAACCTGTGACCCTGTCTCCTCTTCTTCAGTGCATCCTACAGGTAGTGGTTTTTTTTTTTACATTATTTTGTGTATCTATGGGTATTTGCGTATGTCCTGAATATGTATGGAAGTCACAGAACAACCTCCCAAGTAGAGGATGAAGCAGGAAGGTCACTGAGTTCAAGGTCAGCCTCATCTACTTAATGAGCTTAGCCCAGTCTACAGAGTGAGAAGCTGCCTCAGAAACAGCAAACAACTAATTCTCATTCTGTCAGGATGGGAATGTAGCTTAGTGACAGAGTGCTGGGAAGCATGCACAGAACTCCACACATAATCTAGTACTCAAAATAACAAAACCCCAAATAAGGCCAGTGAGACGGCCAATCACGTAGGACCACTTACTGCCCTGAGTTTAATCTGCAAATTTATACAAGGGGAGAAGCAAAATCCCAAATGTCCTCTGACCTTGTAGAGGTCACACACACACAGCATAAAAAAAATCCAAGTAAACCAAGGAGAGTTGTGTCAATCTCCCGGAGGAGGTTGATCAAAGGATGAGCATCCATTTTATAACCGACTCAGTTTAAAACGTAAATGATTAAATATTTAACGACACTACCTTTGCGTGCTTTAGTTCTAGTTCTGCAAGCTCCACTAAATTTTTTCTGAACGCAGCAACTCTTCTTGTCTTAAAATCTATCAGTTCTGTGAACGGAAACACAAGAATCAGCATGACACCATCACAACGAGCGGCTCGCACGGAATGCACGTCAACAGTACCTTGTTTTGCAGATTCAGATATTTTTTCAAACTTCTGACAGCACAACTGTTGGGACGTTTCCGCCTGTAGGACATCTTTGTTTTTTGCTCTTGCCTTGTCCAGTGCTTTATTGGCATTTTCATAGTCCACCAGTGACCTCGACCTTCTGTAGAGGAGGTCCTGCAAAACAGAACATTCACAGATGAAACCAGTGGGAACTTCTAACTGTTCTGAGGCAGGAATCAGGGCCTCACGCTTCACCACTAATTATGTGCCCAGTCCCTAAATGCTTTTTTAAAATAAATAATAGCTTAATTAAAGCAGAATTCACATACTTTACAATTCATGCATCTAAAATAAACAACCCAGGGCTTGTGCTATGTGTACAGCTGCACAAGCGCTCATCCATTCAGACACCACCCACGCTCAGCACAGAGACTCCCACTCAGCTTTCCACCTCCACGCACTTGCCCATCTGGACGGGGTCTCGAGAAGTCAGGATACTTTCAAGCTTATTACAAGGCTGAAGATGATTTTGAACTCGTGATCCTAAGTCTCCACTTTCCAAGGTCAGAATTACTAGCATGCACCATAATAGGCCTGATTTACACGCCCACCCCACCGCCTTTCTTTTTGTGAGACAAAATCTTTTGACTATGTAACCCTAGATGTCCTGGCACTCAGAGATATACCTGCTTCTGCCCTCCCAGACTTAACTCAGCTGGGATTAAAGTCGAGGGCTACCATACTCAGGAGATTTCTTTCTTCTTTTGAAAACAAAAGGAAACAAACAAAAACAAAACAAAAAACAAGGAACATTGAAATTCCATAATATTTATTAAAAGATAAATGCTGATCTCCAAGCTGGGTGTGTTGGTGCATGCCTTTGATTCAAGCACTGGGGAGGCCGAGGAAGACAGAAGTCTGGGAGGAGGAGGCCATCGCAGCAATCCAGTTAGAGTCTGTCCCTACATCTCAACACCCCCACAGAGGAAGTATTCACAAATTTGAAGTCATCTTTATATGGGGGTCACGCTAATCTCTGACTATTTCAATTTTAGTATATGCGCTGCTGAAGCAAGCACCAGCTAGATTCACTTTTAAGGCCATGCTCTGAAAAGATATTTATTTCAACTATATTTTATAATAAAGCCTCTAGAAGTGAAGAACTGGGCTGGAGATGTAGCTAAGTAGTAGAACAAGCGCAAGACCCAGGCTCATGCCAGCGTGGTGGTGGTGCACATCTTTCTTTCCTGAGACAGGGTTTGCCTGCCTGTAGCCTAAGCTGTCGTGGAAGGTGCCCTATAGGCCAGATTGGCCTCAAACTCACAGAGATCCACCTGTCTCCTTATACCATGCCTGGCTCTGAGAAAAGCAATTCCCTATACCATTTCTTTGTTTTTGAGACAAGGTCTCACAGCACAGCCTAAGCTAGCCTCACCTCATTTCTCCAGCCAGCACACAACATCACACACATCTTGAAAACCCACGAATCCCAGAATCTGCTCTTCACGACCTTACATCCAATAACCTCTGCAAACAAACCGGTTACCTTAGCTGCTTGAGACTCCCGTAAGTAGTACTTCAGCAGGTCAGATAGCTTGAGGTCCTCGTCAGCAGACACCCGGGCCTCTATTTTCTGAAAAAGGAGAAATGGCATTAAATCATGTTACATTCTGCTCTAAACAAAAATATTTTTAACATATAGAGATGTTGAGGAACTATAGAATCTACTCTGCTTTATCTGGGCATCTTTCAAAATTCCAACAAGAAATAAACAGAAAAATCATGAATTTATGAAAAAATTCGACACTTGGAAACTTGGCTTCCTTAACATTCTGCAACAGCAACTGACAGGTGCTCACCAACAGACGAAGGAGTGCGAGAAGACGGAAGGGAAATGAAGAGAACTCTTTGCCAGGTAGTGGTGGCACAAGCCTTTAATCCCAACACTCAGGAGGCAGAGGCAGGCAGACTCTGAGTTCAAAGCCAGCCTGAAATCCTGTCTCAAAAACAAACAAACAAAAAAACAAAACAAAACCCCCCAAAAACAACAAAACAGGACAAAAGATCATCCTGCTTCTGCCTGCCAAATGCTGGGATTAAAGGAGTGTGCCACCATGGCCTGGCTGTTTATTTTTCCTTAAAGGCATGCTCACTGAGTAGCTAAGACACAGGTTTAAAAAAAAAACAAAAAACACCAAGTATGAGCAACCTGAATGTTCCTGTTCATTCTAGTGGGAGCAAAATGTGGTACTAACTGTGCCATAGTGCTAATGCTAAAGGTAAGAGGTCAGCCTTTAGAAGTTGGTTCTCTTCTTTTACCACGTGGGTTCTAAGGATCAAACTCAGGTCATGACAGCAAAGGCCTTTAACCCCTGAACCACTTCACTGGTCATAATTTAAAAAAAAAGATAGGGGGGGGGGGGTCGGGGCAGGGGGAGATAGGTCATGCTATGGAGGTTCAGCCTTGTCTTTCTGAGTGCTCGGGTATTGGTGTGGCTCTCCACTGCTGACATGGCGGCACCGTCTCAGGGAACACCCCAGCCCTGCTAACACAAACACAAGCCTGCGCAGCAGCCCTCAAGCCCGGTACTTACTCTGGTTTTATCAAACAGTTCTGAAACTTTGAGGAAAAACCTGCAAGGGAAAAATACCGTCTTCAGAAGCAGCATCTGATGCATTTTCCACCTGAAGTGTTGAGACAATAACCCCAAACCATATTAATGAAAGACAATTCCTGTTTCATCACACAAGGTACCCAATGATCTCGTTAACCAAAGACATCAACTGCTTATTTAAAATCCCCAGAATTTTGATTCCCCAGAATCTATATGGTGTCAGGAGAGAACAGACTCCCACAAGCTGGTCTTTGATCTCTACACTCAACGCTGTTACATGTGTGCCCCATGCCAAATAAATAGCCAGGCCTGGGTGCACACCTTTAATTCCAACACTCAGGAGACAGAGGCAGGTGGAGCTCTTGAGTTCCATTCCAGCCTGGTCTACAAAGACAATTAACCAGAGATACAGTGAGACACACACACATATACACACTTAATGTTATTTTTTTTAAAGAGCAATTAAAGGAAACCACTTAAGATGAAACAGATCTTAGATTCTGATAATACTGTTGGTTATTTATTTTTAGCATTAAAATTGATCCCAGGGTCTCATGCATGATAGCTAAGGGTTCTACGACCAAGCTACAGCCCCAGTTTAAACATTTCCAGATATAGCAAATTTGTTCTGAAAACAAAAAGGAATAACCAATTGCTACCTCAAAATTCACTTTCAAATACACAGCATGGCAAATCAGTTTTAAAAAATTCCAGGCTGAGCAAGTAGGCTCATACCTTTAATCCCAACACACAGGAGGCAGAAGCAGGCAGTTAGTTCTCTGTGATTTCAAGGCCAGCAAAAGTCACACAGAAAGACTCATCTCAAAAGAAAGAGGGTGGAGTGGAAGGGGCCTGGAGCAGATGGCTCAGCAGTTAAGAGCCTTGCCACTGTTCCAGAGGACCTGAGTTCTGTTTACAGCACCCACGTCAGGCAACTCACAGTAACCTTTAAGTCCAGCTCTAGACACACCATTTGGCCTTCGAAGGCACTAGCACATTGGTTTCATACATTCACACATACATACAAATGAAAAGAAAAATATGTATGTAGATATATAGAATATACAAAAAAATACATACATACACACTCACAATTTCTTTTTACTTTTCTTTTCTTCTTCTTTTTTTTTTTGAGGTAGGGTTTCTCTGTAGCCTTGGAGCCTGTCCTGGAACTAATTCTTGTAGACCAGTCTGGCCTCGAACTCACAGAGATCCGCCTGCCTCAGCCTCCCGAGTGCTGGGATTAAAGGCGTACACCACCACCATCCAGATACACACACACTCTTTAAATTGTTTTTATGTGGGGTATTCTGTTTGCATGTAAGTACACTTAAAATTTTAAATTTATACACAGGTACGCTGTGGAAGTATGTCATATATGTGCAGGAGAGAGTGTTGGATCTCCTGGAACTCGAAATACAGGTGGTTGTGCTAGGAATCAAACTGAGCCATTTCTCCAGTTCCAAGATTAATTTGCTTCCTTCTCTTTTGGTTTTATGAGACAGGGCCTTACTATGTAGTCTAGGTTGGCCTAAACTTAAAACTGTTCTGCCTCAGTCTCCCAGGCCCTGAGATGAGAAGTGAATCAAATCTGCCCTAAATGTGTTGTGGTTTTTTTTTTGAGACAAAGCGCCATGTATACCAGACTAATTTCAGCCTCAATTACATGATCTGCTGTGATATACATCCCTAGCATACACACACACACACACACACACACACACACACACACACACACACACA